CATGAATGTTATATGAAGTAGGGGAAGTATAGTCGTCCTGAAAATCCCAGGTCCTGATCCCTAATGCTCAGCCCCAAACTGCAAAGGAAACCTCTAATAGTCAGGCAAGCCAGGAGAGCTTTAAAAATCCTGGCAAGAACTTTGAAATCAGACCCGGTCGGCATGTGTCCTGAATATCAGAATAGACACTATATTTATCCTGAAAAGCCCTTCAGTGCAACTGAGAGCTATAAATAACCATTAGGGCCCAAGCAAGAGGCCTTAACACATGGATTTCCTTCCAAAAATGCAGACCCATTTTAATTAAATTTGTAATTAACCTTTGGGGAGGGCAGGCCCCCTAGACTCGGTTTGCATTCGGAGACACCGTGAGTAATTTCCTATTCCTTAAATGTTTGGGGATTAGCACAGTCTCTGGGTGCCCAGCTCAGAAGCAATCCCCCGGGGGAGCTTGCACAGAGTCCAGAGGAGGCTCCGGCGGGCGTGGAGTGACGGTTTTCTGCAGCCTGGGGCCTCCCCTCTGCCCTGGGTGTCACAAACAGGGTCTCTGCAAAGCCAGCCCGTGTGCCCTGTTTCCTCCAGAACAAGATGGGAGTCATGGCTGTGTTGATGCTGCCCCTGCTGCTCCTGGGAATCAGCGGCCTCCTCTTCATCTACCAAGAGGTGTCCAGGCTCTGGTCGAAGTCGGCCGTGCAGAACAAGGTGGTGGTGATCACAGACGCCCTCTCAGGACTAGGCAAGGGTAAGCTGGCTTCACTCCCACCATGGGCCCATCTCTGCCCTGAGGTGACAGGGTGGCATGTGGACAAACCTGCTAGGCAAGAGAGGCTCAGCCATGCCTTCTCCTCCAGCATCTGCTATTAACCAGCTTATCCTCTTTGGAGGCTGCAGCTTTCTTACCTGATGAAAGAGTGGAACATCTGGGGTGGCAAACTCACAGCCTAGGGGCCTCAGTGGGTCTACAGATATGATCTGTTTTGCCTTGGAGGGTTTCCAGAAACCTTTAGCTGGACAGTGGACTGGTTGTGAGCTCAGATGCGGGAGTGGGGTTCAGTTCCTGGCTTCAGGCCTTGCTGACTGGTTGCTTCATTTCTCTGGCTTGGATTGTTCATCTATCGTGGGAGGATACCTGCAGTCCCCAGCTCACATTGCTGTTAGGAGGGACATGGAAGTCAGGGACGGATGCACTTAGAACAGCGCCTGGTGCTGTATCAGGCCTCACTTGAGCCGTAGCAATGATGATAACGGACACACTGAAGCAGAACGCGTGCACTCGGGTGTGCCGCACACCTCGCCAGTCCCTATTGTCACGCTTTGGCAACCATATCACCCGCTGGCCTTGAAGGCATTTCTTTTTTTTTTTTTCTTTTTTCTTCTTTCCTTTTCTTTTCTTCCCCTTTCATTCTTTTTCTCTTTCTTTTTTTTCCATTCAATCACTGTACATCATCACAGCATAGCAAATGAATTTTCCCATCACTAATACACCGCATAGCGATCCAGTCAAAGACTTTACCATAAACATTATAATCAACAGATTTCTTTCATGTTGGGTCCCTTAAATGTTTTGCTTCTTTCTTCTTCCCCTCGAGTCCCTCCCTCTCGCCCTCCCCCACTTCCCACCGTCCTCCTGCCCTGTCTCCAGCCTGACTATTGCTCCCCATGCTTTCCTACCCTCCGATCATTCTGTTCCGCCACCGAGTGCCGACATTCGATATTTTCGCAGCCCCTGTAGTGGCTATTCTCTGAGGGCCCTTCTTCTGGTGACGTCTGTGAGATAAGGGGAGTAAATGTCCTTAGGGTTGCAAGTTTGACTATCTTCCACATAGTGATATGTTGACTAGTTTCGAAGCAAGTTTTGCTATAGTTTTGCCCTTCTTATCCTTCTTAATCAAGTGTAGAGCTGACACACCCAGACATTCACTAGCACTCGGCATGGGTCCAGTGAGTCCCTCTGCCCCGAGCATTGCCCTTGCCAAAGGGTCACTCCGAAGGGGCTGGGCGCAGTCCTGTGTTGCTGCCATCATGAGAACATTGCACCCCACTCCCTGCTCTGTGGCTCGTTCTTGTGGGCATCCCCGTGGGAGCCAATCTGCATGCTTTCAAGATGGGTTAGGTTCCGCGGGTGATCCATCTGGGGCAACCATGTAAGATAAAAGCAAAGCAGAACCAGCAGATGAAGGCAGATAGACTGGGCGCTCTGTTGGTCCCTGGACAAATCCCAGGAGCGATTCCCAAAGACGGTATCCTGTATCTGTAAACTCAGTGCTCCGAAAAGGAAGAGGGACGAGGAACTCCAACACCAACTCCAACTTCCAGGGGCACGCCTGGGCACATATATTTGTCAGTTAGACCAGATCCAAGTCGTGTTGCCAGGAAAATTGGAGAAGAGGTGCCCATCAAAAACCATTCAGAAGTGAAGGCTCTCCAACGAAAACACATTTGGCTAGTTAACATCAAGCCAGGCTCCCAGTAAGTGACCCTTGATAGGCCCCCGGCATGGAGGCATCTCTGCACTTCAATTGCTCCTTTCTCTTGGGTCTTTGTGGGAGAGACCTCGTCACCCCCGTAGCCCATCCTACAAGCACACTGCCAGCAGTGTACTTCTCACACTCTGGCCCTGAATGTTTCTTAGTCTACTAGGCCCTGGCTTGTGCATGGTGAAATCTGTTTTGTTCATCCCAGGATCCCCAACACCTAGCTCAATGCTTGGCATATAGCAAGTTCTCAAAAAAATGTTCACTTAGGGCCAGCAGGTGATATCATGGTGAAGGCGGTAGATTCCCACATGGCTGACCACGGTTTGAGTCCCAGATCCAGCAGCTTGAAACTCATACTGGGTGTGTAGGCATGCATGCCCAAAATCCCAAAAGGAAAATGGAGAAGGGATTGTGGGATGGCCATCCCACCTGGAGGGTGATTTCTTGCTTTCTCTCTCTTTCCGTCTCTCTCTGTCACTCCAGCAAGACCAGGCACCCTATAGCAAAAATCTCAAAAAAGCTTAGCTAATGAATAAGTGACCATGTGGTCAGAAAAGGCCCTCTTTTAGATAAGTATGTTCTCGTACTATTTGTTTTATTAAGTGCCAGCTTGCTTCCCATATGGTCAGAGAATACACTCAGAAGGGTTCCGGCTTGTTTAAATTGGTTGAGGTTCATATTATGGAACATGGTCTATCTCGGTGTATGTTCTCTGAGTGCTTAAACAGAATGCGTGTTCTGCTGCGGTTGGGTGGCCGGTCCTACCAATGATTACATCCTGTTGGCTGAGGAGATTGTCCAGTGCTTCTGTATTCGGGATGATTTTCTGTCCTACTCGACAACCCTGCTGGTCTATCTATAATAGAGGGGGGTCTGCAAAAACTTAAAGAAAATGCACATCCTGGGGACCAGCAGTTGGCGTAATGGCTATGTCGCTGGACTCCCATGTAGTCTACCACAGTTCAAGTCCCGGACCTGGTGGCTTAAACTCAGGTCGGGCGCATGTGCGTGCGTGCCCAAGATCCTGAGAGGAGAATGGAGGAGAAGGGATTGTGGCGTGGCCATCCCCCCTGGGGGATGATTTCTTGCTTTATGGCTCTCTGTCTCTCTGTCTTTCTGGCAAGTGCACATGCCCTATAGAAAAAAAAAAAAAATCTAAAAAAGAAAAAGAATGTATTTGGCACTTACCTTAGCAACTGACACTAATTTCTAATTTTATCTTGATTCTTCTATTGATAATTTGTGTTATCTTGCTTGGGTCAAAGGCAATTGGGATCTTTACCATTTATTTTAAAGATCCTTAAACTCTGCAGTTGCCACTCCAACTTCCAGGGGCACGCCTGGGCACATATATTTGTAAGTTAGACCAGATCCAAGTCGTGTTGCCAGGAAAATTGGAGAAGAGGTGCCCATCAAAAACCATTCAGAAGTGAAGGCTCTCCAACGAAAACACATTTGGCTAGTTAACATCAAGCCAGGCTCCCAGTAAGTGACCCTTGATAGGCCCCCGGCATGGAGGCATCTCTGCACTTCAATTGCTCCTTTCTCTTGGGTCTTTGTGGGAGAGACCTCGTCACCCCCGTAGCCCATCCTACAAGCACACTGCCAGCAGTGTACTTCTCACACTCCGGCCCTGAATGTTTCTTAGTCTACTAGGCCCTGGCTTGTGCATGGTGAAATCTGTTTTGTTCATCCCAGGATCCCCAACACCTAGCTCAATGCTTGGCATATAGCAAGTTCTCAAAAAAATGTTCACTTAGGGCCAGCAGGTGATATCATGGTGAAGGCGGTAGATTCCCACATGGCTGACCACGGTTTGAGTCCCAGATCCAGCAGCTTGAAACTCATACTGGGTGTGTAGGCATGCATGCCCCAAATCCCAAAAGGAAAATGGAGAAGGGATTGTGGGATGGCCATCCCACCTGGAGGGTGATTTCTTGCTTTCTCTCTCTTTCCGTCTCTCTCTGTCACTCCAGCAAGACCAGGCACCCTATAGCAAAAATCTCAAAAAAGCTTAGCTAATGAATAAGTGACCATGTGGTCAGAAAAGGCCCTCTTTTAGATAAGTATGTTCTCGTACTATTTGTTTTATTAAGTGCCAGCTTGCTTCCCATATGGTCAGAGAATACACTCAGAAGGGTTCCGGCTTGTTTAAATTGGTTGAGGTTCATATTATGGAACATGGTCTATCTCGGTGTATGTTCTCTGAGTGCTTAAACAGAATGCGTGTTCTGCTGCGGTTGGGTGGCCGGTCCTACCAATGATTACATCCTGTTGGCTGAGGAGATTGTCCAGTGCTTCTGTATTCGGGATGATTTTCTGTCCTACTCGACAACCCTGCTGGTCTATCTATAATAGAGGGGGGTCTGCAAAAACTTAAAGAAAATGCACATCCTGGGGACCAGCAGTTGGCGTAATGGCTATGTCGCTGGACTCCCATGTAGTCTACCACAGTTCAAGTCCCGGACCTGGTGGCTTAAACTCAGGTCGGGCGCATGTGCGTGCGTGCCCAAGATCCTGAGAGGAGAATGGAGGAGAAGGGATTGTGGCGTGGCCATCCCCCCTGGGGGATGATTTCTTGCTTTATGGCTCTCTGTCTCTCTGTCTTTCTGGCAAGTGCACATGCCCTATAGAAAAAAAAAAAACTCTAAAAAAAAAAAAAAAGAAAGAAAAAAGAAAAAAAAGAAGAAAAAAAGAAAGAAAGGAAGGAAGGAAGAAAATGCACTTCCTGAAGAAAATTATGCATTGGTTTCAACATGTTTTTTGGCACCCAAATGAACTTGATCTTTAATCCATCTTTCCATGAACATCGTGAAGTACTCTCATATTCAATAAGAGATGGATATTTATTTTAATAGTCTTATTTCTTTATTTCTTTTTCGATTTTTTTAAATTTTTTGCCGTAGAGTATGTGTGCTCACCAGAGAGAGAGGCGGTAAGAAATCACCCTCCACAGAAGATGGCCATGCCACAATCCCTTCCCCATTCTCTCCAGATTTGGGGCACACGTGCACACATGCGTAGCATGTTTTTCAGACCACCAGGTCTGGGACTCGAACCATGGAGTCGGCCATAAGTGAGCTAGCACCTTAATCACCACACCAGCAAGACCAGGCACCCTATAGCAAAAATCTGCTGGGCCCTTGTTTATTTTTTTAAATCTCATTCAATTATAGTCACACATTACACAAATCAGAAAAGGCATCCCAGGAGCAAAATGGCATTTTCGGAGGAATATGACCCAGTCTGCTATGAAAAGTGTCAG